GCAATGCAAAAAAATACTTTATTCCTTCACAGGTACAATTCGAAAATTCTGATGATTTCTGACATGTCAATTGTTGGTACACTTGCTTTTATTTTCATGATTTTATTTTCATTTTTTTAAGATTTTTATTGATTTACAGTTTTATGTGCTGGTGGGCAGTTGGAATTGTGTGGGCAAATTAAATTTTAGACGCGAAATATATTGACTTTCTCAATTTTGTTTCCTTATAGATTGAAATTATAGTTTCTGGTTTAGCGTGTGGAACAGACCCCAGTTTTTGTTACCATAAATGAATCACGATATTTCAATATGTTCTTTTTTTTATTTTACACAAAAGCGAAGATTTTTTATATTTATTTATACTAGTATTAGTATATGTAAGATTTATCAGAATACACAAAACATATGTGTGTGTGTATACATACATTTATATATATATATATATATATATATACATATATATATATAGGTAGACATTGATAACTATTTGGAGATTTATATCGATATATATAGATATCTCTGTATGATCGTTTTCTTATCAAAATCGTCAACTATAATTAACTTGCAAAATATATTTAATCATGTATAGACCTCATTTTTTCTGTATATCATTTAGTAGACACACTTTCTACCAACCCCCATACTCACACAGACAAACACACACACACACAAAACAACGTCTAAAAACACAATATCCAGCCGGGCTAAACCATAAATTTAACAATACAGATAGTACTAATATGTAACTCAACAAATCAAAACCTACACACATTTCTCACCCACACAAGACAGACATGCTTACGGAGGTGTGGAGGCCCCACACTTATACACTTATACACACACCCACACGAATATACACACTTACACACATCATACTCACTCACTCCCTAATGAGCCAAATGATAACACACACCTACAGCAATACACACGCTTACACATATCATACTCACTCACTTCCTAAGAACCAAATAACACATACACAAACACTAAACAGAGACACATCCCCTCACCAGGTCCAATAAAACTGTCAAACTGATCAGGGAATTCAGAGCAGCATGGATCTATCCAGCTCTTATCTCAAATAACAACTTAAAAGAGACTGTTTGACCAACACAAGGATTGTTAAAAGATTCATGTTAAAAAGATAAAAAAATAAAAAAACAAATGAAAACTACAGTCAAAAATTCATTTTCTCCAGCAAAACATTCATTTCTGTAGTTTACTGCTACCAGCAAGCAGAAATATTTCTCCTCCCGATGATGGCCATTAAGATTGGTCGAAACTAATCGAGGAATCTAAATGAAATAATAATAAAAAAAAGCGAAAGAATATTAATCTACAACACAGTGTGTCTAAAGATTTTAATTTTTTAATATTTTTTTTATTTTTCAATATATATATATATATATATATGAGGGGGTAGTCAGATGGATGTGGCACACGAATGTGATACAACCTCAAAAGTGAGACAAGATAGTGTAAATTTATTGAAAGATGGATAACTTTGAATCACAGAACAAACGAAAAACGTATGGCGAAACATTGTCAAGAATGATTCTATTTTTTAATAACGTTAAAGAACGGAATGGAGAATGTTAAATGTATAATGAAGAAGAAAATGGATCAATAAATATGAAAATATATTAAATGGCAGATTTTGATCTAGTAACCTCCGAGAAGTGGAGCAGAATATTATGAACATCAAATATCTGAAATCAACTAAACTAACAAAACAAATAGAATCTCGTAAACTGTGAGAATTACTATGATACTTTTTTCAACAAAGATTGTTAATCATGAATACAGACATACACTTGATGAACATTACGAATAAAAGAGATTTTGGGTCCTTCATGAAGATTTTCGACAAACAAAGAAATCTACAGGAGCTTTCAGCTATAATTTGGGCTAGTAAGAAAATGATTGACAATTATGTAATATCTCTCCTCCTGTATGGCTGCGAATACTGGACAATCTCCTTAAAGATGAAGAAGAAATTTGAATCTGCAGAAACGAGGTAATACAGAAAAATACTGCGGATATCATGGACCGAGCATGTGAGCAACAACGGAGTTTTGGTAAAAAAAAAATGGAAAACAAAAAGTAAACATTAAGAAGAGTCAGTTGAAATTTCTGGGGCACGTAATGAGGAAAGACGGCTTGGAAAATTTGATACTCATATGACAGACTGAAGGCAAGAGGAACAGAAGAAAGCGGCTCGAAATATACTTGACGAGGTTGAGTAAATGAATGATAAAATACGGTTTCGGAGAAATAACTCGGGACAGAATGATGTGGAGGGTCATGATCGCTTACGCCCTGAAAGAATATTGCGTATAAAAGAAGAAGATTCAAAGCAGTACAATTATATGAGCTGATGATGTTATCAAGATAAAGGCTGTGTAATGTGGTTATTAGATGAGAAGTGATGCAGGTCACTGCCAATAATCTTTAAACGAAAGTCGCTATTACTTTCAGGCTCTGTTCCCCCCACATTATATATAATTCCTACCTTACAAAAGAAATCTTCAAAGACACAAATTTAACTGAATGTCTTCCAGGGTCACCAGTTTTTATTCTTTTAGAAAGATCACGATCCATCATTAAAAGAGATGTATGAGAATGGTATACGATATTCAATCGAAGAGTCTATGGAAACAATAAAATTGCTGCAAGTAATGTTTAAGTCAATCAATACCTCAATCAATACAGACTACATGACACCGCCTCTCTCGATCATTCTGACAAGATTAAAACGAAAAAATGTCATTTAAATTTGCACCGGCTTGGCTGCAGAAGTCGCCGGAAACTTAACAGTATTGACCACCAACCATTTTCGATCTTGCACTACGGGTTTTCTGCATGGATTTAATTCCAGAGGATTTTCTGTGTCCATTTTTGTATATATTAGTCGATTTCGGTATCGTGTCAAGCAGATTGTATAAACTGATTTCTCAACGCGTTATTCTTTTAATTATTACCGAACGCTTTTTTATTAAAAAAAAATAAAATAAATAAAACACAACGTTGAGTATGATAGGAAGTGTGTAGGAGAGTGCGAAGGAGTAGGAGAAAAAGAATGAGGAGGAGGTGGAAAAAAGCGGTATTGTAAATATATCAGTGGGGGGTAATTAAAAAGTACATATATTTTATCCAACCTTATATAAATTAAGAGGAATTCTTTTGTATGGATGCAACGATTCATAATTTCGGAAATTTGATTCAAACGGTTTTGGGATATTGATGTCATTATTGCTAACTTTTCTTATTGGCTTTTGTTGTAGGTGTTATGGTGGTTGTTGATAGGTTTATATATAAAACAATTCTCCTGACACAAAGCAAGAGAGACACTCAAGTTAGAATGTTACATTCAAAATATATCTTGCTATTTTTTAACTGATCTGACACTGAAAAATAAAGCATGAGAGAAAGAGTCTGGAATGATAGAATGAACCAAGGATTTCTCAACCATCTTTAGTAATGGATCGTAAATATGAGTTACACTGGAGCGGTGCAATGAAATTGAAACCTCCAAAAAAGTCGATCAAATTATTGCACCTCATTGAGTGTCAACAGATTCGTTGTGACAATAGAAATCTCAGCGTATAAATCATGAGGATGAATCGATACTAGACAGGTTTGTGTTAGTGTTAGGTTTTTGTGCTATTGAATGCTATGCATTTGGGCATGTCTGTGCATCGTAATATTTCTTCTTTTATGCACCATTCTCCTGATCTCAGACCGAATTCAACTTTGAAATAAAGCAAAATGAAAATGACTCTCACATAATGGCTCAAAATTTCGAATTCATTTAGCCATCTGTTGAAAATAAGAACGCATCTCGAACTATCTTAAATTTTTGGATACCGTTATACTGTAGCTATTTTCTGTGAAAAAAATTCAATAATGAATGCTCCACGAAAAACCACCAATTAATTCTTAAATATATCAGAATCAAAATTACTACATTACGACGGGATTATTTGATCGAAAGATGAACAGAAGTTGAAAGTCACAAATACATTACACATTCCGCATTTATACAAGAAATGTTAGAAAAAATATTTAAGAAAAAAAAACTTCAATATATTTTTACATCATGTTTTTCTTTTTTTATATACGGAAGCTTTTATTGATTGGTTTGTGAATTTTCCAGTTCACCGACGTGTACATGGATTTCAATCCTCTCATTCCACCGTTATCTTGTCATTTCACACAGAATCAGTGAGGTACTCGAAAAATAAATTAATCACGAAAGCAATCATCTTAGAAATCTCAAGAGCCTGTGAAAAGGTATGTCACTAGGGTTTGTTCTGAAACATCTCCAGAAAAGAACGAGGGCGTTTTCCCCAATATAAAGCACTTCATCTCAGGTACGTCCATGAAGGATGTATTTAATGACCAGTCTCTTTATTAATACAGGTTTTACCAAACGATTTCTCTTCGATTCTATCTATATTTATATTAACAAATTGCGATCATTATCAAATATCTATTCAGATAATGCAATATATTATGGGTACAACTACAAAACTCTAGATGACAGTAACATGATTATTGGTCTCACTACTTACCTCTAACAGCTGATTGGGAGAAAACTGCTTTGTAAGACCAAGCTAATTACGTTGAATCATTACCTAGCATACACGGAGAATTCTCTTAGAAACAAAGCTCAGTCTTTTCCTCAAGTATATGTATACAATGCATCGTTTAAAGATGCTAAAAGATGGCCGGTGCCATGTAGTGCTCCAGAAATTACTGACTCCTGATGCCATGCTTTAACTGACAAGACTCAGATCAAACTAAGAATTGGATATTTCTGGGATATCTGTACTAGAGATCTTCAATTCTCACTTGCCAGGCTTATCAGTGTTCAAGAGCGTTTACTAACCCTTAAACCTTGCCTTTTTCACAGATGAAAAGAGGATTCATTCCTTACACAATGGAAAAATTTATTACAAAGTATTAAGAAACAACTTTAACTTAAATTCGAATTTGTCTTAAGAAGCGGAAGAAAGAAAGAAAGAAAGAAAAAGAGGAAAGAAAAAGGAAAGAAAGAAAGAAAAGGAAAAAGTAAAGAAAGAAAAGAAAGAAAAGGAGGAAAGGAAAAGGAAAGGAAGAAAGAAAAGGAAAAAGTAAAGAAAGAAAAAAGAAAGAAAAAAGAAATAAAGAAAGAAAAGGAGGAAAAAAGAAATGATAAAAGAAAAAGAAAAAGTAAAGAAAGAAAGAAAGAAAGAAAGAAAGAAAGAAAGAAAGAAAGAAAGAAAAAGAGGAAAGAAAAAGGAAAGGAAGAAAGAAAAGGAAAAAGAAAAGGAGGAAAGAAAAGGAGGAAAAAGGAAAGGAAGAAAGAAAAGGAAAAACTTAAGAAAGAAAAGAAAAGAAAGAAAAGGAGGAAAGAAAAAGAAAATGAAGAAAGCAAAAAGTAAGGAAAGAAAAAAGAAACAAAGAAAAAGAGGAAAGAAAAAGGAAAGGAAGAAAGAAAAGGAAAAAGTAAAAAAGAAAGAAAGAAAGAAAGAAAGAAAGAAAAGGAAAAAAAAAGAAAGAAAGAAAGAAACGGAAAAAAAACGGAAAAAAAAAGAAAAGAAAAGAAAGAAAAGGAAAAGAAAGAAAAGGAGCAAAAGAAAGGAAAGAAAAAAGAAAAAAGAAAAGAGGAAAGAAAAAGGAAAAGAAGAAAGAAAAGAAAAAAGTAAAAAAGAAAAGAAAGAAAGAAAAGAAAAAAAAAAGAAAAGGGAAAAGAAAAAAGAAAGAAAGAAAAGGAGGAAAGAAAAAGAAAAAGAAGAAAAGAAAGAAAGGGAAAAAAAAAAGGAAATGAAAAGAGAAAAGGAAAAAGAAAGAAAAGAAAGGAAAGAAAAAAAAGAAATAAAAGAAAAAGGAAAAAAAGTAAAGGAAAAGAAAGAAAAGAAAGAAAAGAAAAAAAGGAGGAAAGAAAAGAAATGAAGAAAAAGGAAAAAGAAGGAAAGAAAAAGAAAAAAAGAAAAAAAAGAAAGAAAGAAAGAAAAAGAAAGAAAAAGGAAAAAGGAAAGAAAAAAAGGAGGAAGAAAAAGGAAAGGAAGAAAGAAAAGGAATAAGTAAAGAAAGAAAAGAAAGAAAAAGAAAATGAAGAAAAGGAAAAAGTAAAGAAAGAAAAGGAAGAAAAAGAAGAAAGAAAAAGGAAAGAAAGAAAAGAAAGAAATAAGTTTATCAACTTAGAACTTAGATGATTTTCTTTTTTCTTTTGTTTATTTACGCATTTATTTCCTTCTTTTTTTCTTTCTGTTTCATTTCTTTCTTCATCCTTTCTCTTCCTTTATTTCTTCCTTCCTGAATTCCTTATTTTCTTTATTTTTCTTTTATTTCAGTTCATATTCTTTTATTTCCTTCATTACTACTTTAATATCTATCACCAAAATATTTAAATTAAAAATGAAAGAAAACCACGTATTTCACTCTTTCATTGCATTTTCATGTCATTTTTAGCATATTTGCATCTTGTGCCAAGAACTTTTTAATAATGCCGATATGTTTTTAAAATATTGTTTATTTAGATATATTTCTTTACAAAATTACCTTAGGTCGCGAGATCTACACAGCCGGGCAGGAGGGGGAGATGAAATAAAATATCAACTACGAGAGCCCGTATACGCATGAGAGCAATTAGTACTTTTATAGAATTATGTTTACACATGCTGAAATATAAAAATCCTTTTTCGAAACAAACAATTATTGGTTTTATTTTTGTACATGGCAGCCATATTTCTCCCATTTGCTTCTGTTATCATCTTGTGCATTTACTTTTCTCTTCATTCTGTTGTTGAATGATATATATTTACGCTTATTTTACAAGTCGGCAAATGCTATGACATTTTCCTTCTCTCATATCCCAAATGGATAAATAAGCCAATAATAATAATAATAATAATGATACAGATGGAATCATAGCTACTCTCCCAGATATCTTGATCCATGACCACAAAAACAGAAATTTCACAAAATAGTGGTACATGAGAATATGAATAATGTCAGTTGTAGTTTGAGCCCTCCGATTGATTGGAAAATGTTCCGATAGAATCATTGAAGGCATCCGTATTGGCCCATAACTTAAAGAGATATAAAAGCTTGTACTCACAATTACAGTTCAAACATTACGAAGCGCTTCATCTATATAAATTTTGTGCGTTCCATGTTTTTTTTTGGGGGGGGGATTCTTTTTAAATTTTTTTAAAATATCTTATCAATGGAAAATGTCATGAAGCCATTTATGAACTGTGGACTGTGGATGAGACTTGGAAGGAAATGAGTATGCAACAGAAATCAAAGGAAATAATAATAATAATAATAATAATAATAATAATAATAATAAGTTGTCAAAGTACAAGGACCTTGAAATAGAAATCGCGAAAATGTGGCATATGGAAACATCAACAATCCCTGTTGTAGTTGGAGCCCTAGGACTTGTTGGAAAAGATTCCAGTAGACTAATTGAAGGGATTCCTGGAAGTCCATGCCTCAAGGAGATACAGAAAATTGTTCTGACAAGTACAGCCCACACCTTACGAAGGGCTTTATCTATGTAATCATTTTTTTTTTTTTTGTCCGTGGAAAGTGTCATGACGCCATTTCTAACCTTAGGTCCCTGGGCGGGACCCGGAAAGAAATGTGTAAACGCCAGAAATCAAAGAAAATACAAATAATAATAATAATCGCTGGTGCTACGCGAAGCATGTTCTTCATGGCTTCTCAACAATTGGGTTGAGGTATAAATATATATATATATATAGTTAATTAGTTAATTAGAGCCAGCCTTCCCTGACGATCCGATTAGATGAAACTTTGGTAGGTTTGTCTAGCTCACTAGGTTTAACTAGGTCTGCTCTACTTACTGTATTGAGCACTTCATTTAGTTATTTTGCTTACTCGTATCGGGGCTTTTTTCTTTGTACTCTGAACTTGGATACTAAACGATTATTTTCGGCTGTTCTTGGTTCTTTCTTTTTTATACCTTTCTTTTCCCCCTTGGGTATTGGTTTGATTATTCGCAAATCAAGACATCAAAGTTTTTCCAGACGAATATAATTTCTTATACTTATAAGATTATTACTAATATATATATATAATATATATATATATATATATATATATATATATATATATATATATATATATATATATATATATATATATATATATCACGACCTAACATGCGCAGGTGAAATATTTGCATAGCCGTTTATAACGATTTTTACGAGCGCGTCAATAACGGCAAACGCGTTCAGGAACTTTCATTACGGACAGAAGCTGCAAAGAGTTTTTTTTTTATTTCATTAAGAATTTGCAAAGAGGAACGATCAATTATTTTTTTTTTTTTTCATCCCCTGCCTGGTGGCAAATGCTGCTGGTGGCGCCTGGGGTGGCGGTCCCGCCATAGCCACCGAAACCGTGAGATCACCCCTGGTCGACGGCTGATGAACTCAGGGTATCGCACGTGCTAACACACGTTGTATGTTAAAAAAAAAAATATATATATAAGTAGTAATAATATATATATATATATATATATATATATATATATATATATATATAAATATATTATATATATATATATATATGATATTTATGGATTTATGGATAAAAGTCGTTTAAATCAGGCTATGTAAATATAAAAGAGAATGAATATAAAAATGGGATATTTAGGTCGACACCGGGACAGTTAATTTTATGTTTGAAAGCAGTCCCCGTCTGAGGTGTTCTGGTACGAGTGTTTATATGTGCTGGTCAATAGTGCATTATTGGTACCAAGGCCTATTATGCTAACAGTTACTGGTTAATATTATTCTAGAGGTTATTGAGTAGTGATAATTGTGCAAACGAATGAAGTTATGTGTATTTTGCTATCTTGTTTGTTAACTTCCTACTTATTAATTATTATTGATTACATAATTATTTCTTGTTGATTATATCATTCAATTTACTTGCGTTTATATGTGCCTTCGTTCTTTGCTAATTTGTTTATTATTTACTTAATTTTTTTTTAAATTATTATATATTTTTTTAATTTTTTCGGGGGTTGCTAAAATTATTTGTTTGGTTAAAGTATTGACTTTGTCTGAATTATGTTACACTATTTGCGTTGCGGATAATTTATATATTTGTATTTATCATAGTGGTATTTTACAATGTATTTGCTTTTAATTTTCGATCCTTAAGTAACGTAGTAAAAGATTGTTTTCGTGTTTGCTTTTTTAAATGAGTACTGCTCGTTTATTTAGTAATTTGTGTCGGTTTGCGAAGGTGATTTTAGCTACCTTCTTCTCCAAATAGTGTTGACAGCTTGGGAATTACATCTACCGACAACAATATATCCAAAACTTTACTATGTCCTGAAATAAACAAATTCTCCAAGACTTCTTTTCCTATGTGTCACAAAAATTAATCTCTTTTTTCTTTTTTCTTTTTTTGTGGAGTGGGGGGAGGTTATGACTCTAAGGAGAAGATTCTGTTGCCCATATTAGTTGATACTTTGCATAAGCTAATACATCTTTATGATGCTGCTTTTGGTTTATTCAAAGAACTTGTATATTTCATTTTCACTATATGAGACATATTACACTCACTGCTCCTAGGTCATTCGATGAATTTCACCAAGCCTTCCAATAACGAAATCCGGGGGAAATTTAGCTAAAGCTTGTAGGTCAATAAGACCGCAAATGGAGGCAAGTAAAGTGCCTTCTCGGTAAAGTCGTTGGAAACAAATATGTAATATTTATTATCAGAAAGATATCGTGGCGATCAATACAAATACAGAATTAAATATGTTTCACAAACTTAGATGATTACCTATTTTTCATAGACTACGCAAAAGCACCTGATAACGCCAGACACGAAGAAGTGTTTGAAGTGTGGGAAAACTTTATTTATTTAAGAAAGATATAGGAATAATTTAATATTTATAACGTTTGAATATGAACTGAATATGTACACAAAAATAGAATGGAGTATAAGTAAAGAATGGGTCTTCCAAACGGATTTATTTAATCATTACAGCGAGCTTATCCTGGGAGAACTAGAAGTCCTGCTAGGATTTATTTTGGGTAATAATCTTAAAATACGCAAATGACACCGTTTTGAAAAGAGAAAGACAAAACTGTTGGAATGCCGGTAGAAAATGGTATAAACAAACGTAAAGAAAAGGACGAATTATCAATTGTAAGAAGAGACGATGTATGGTTGTGAATGTACGCAATGAAGATATCGCAATAAATTAAATACAGGAATATGTTGGAAATGTTTTAACATACGATGAAAAATGGGTCAGCGAAATTCGAATATACATTCGAGCAGAAAAAGGCTGCTGCCAAAAATTAAATAAAATATCAAGAAAAAGGAGAATTCCGTTAGAAACAATAAGAGAATTGATACGTAATATAAAACCTAATATAGGGCAGATGGACAATTTCGTTAGTGATGAAAGAAAGACTTGAAGCAACAAAGATGTAGCTCTACAGAAGGATGCTGAGAATATCATGTATTGAAGGTGTGGGTAATAAGATTTCTTTTTAGGGAAATTTAAACAACAAAAAAAGACTCATGCTTAAAATCTGAAAAAGAATTTTGAAATTTCTGGCAATTAATGAAGATAGCTTGAAAAAAATAATTCTTATAAGGCGTACTCAATGCAAGAAACGTTTAAGAGTAGGAATCAAGTAACCAGCATCTGGAAATGGATGGGAGATCCGAAAGTGTCAGCAACAGTAAATATATTGCCATGAGCTACACATGCAGAGTCATAATTGCTCACATCACTGACTGGGAATGGCACATAAACTAATATTTTTATTCAATCCTAATCATAAACAGAACTAAGTTATTCAGGGAAATGGATGAACACCCAAGTTTGAATCTTACAAAAGGTTACCGAATGAGACGGATAGACAAATCAAGGCTGAATGTTAAAAGTTGTAAGTATCAAAAGAGATGAACAAAATAGAACGAACAGATTAATGAGTAATAATAATTAATCACATGAGAAACTTGAAAAGAATAGATAGATAGATAGATAGATAGATAGATAGATAGATAGATAGATAGATAGATAGATAAAGAACAGTTTTATAGATAGATAGATAAATAGATAGATAGATAGATTTTAGATAGATAAAAAAGATAGTTTTATAGATAGATAGATAGATAGATAGATAGATAGATAATAGGACAGTTTTATAGATAGATAAAGGACAGTTTTATAGATAGATAGATAGATAGATAGATAGATAGGGAACAGTCATAGATAGATAGATAAAGGACAGTTTTATAGATAGATAATAGATAGGACAGTTTTATAGATAGATAGATAGATAGATAGATAGATAGATAGATAGAGATAAAGGACAGTTTCATAGATAGATAGATAGATAGATAGATAGATAGATAGATAAAGGACAGTTTCATAGATAGATAGATAGATAGATAGATAGATAAAGGGCAGTTTCATAGATAGATAGATAGATAGATAGATAGATAGATAGATAGATAAAGACAGTTTAGATAGATAAATAGGATAGATGGGGAAATGTTTCATTTTATAGATAGATAGATAGATAGATAGATAGATAGGGATAAATAGGATAAAGGACAGTTTTATAGATAGAT